CCACGCGGAGGCCCATGCACGCGTGGCCTGGGAGGCGCGTGCCCCCGCAATCCCCACGAGCTGGCGTGGCCAGCGCCACGCGGAGGCCTTCAGCGCCAGGCCGGGCGAGGCAGCCCAGGGACAGAGCGACGGCCTTTACCTTCCAGAGCCGGGGGGCGGCAGCCGGCTGCTCAGCAAGCTAAAGCGGAAACGGCAAAGGGGGTCGTTAGGCCACCAAGCAGGGAGCGGCACTGGCGGCGTCTCGGCCGCAGCGCTATTAAAAGGGCCCAGCTGTCCCGCCGGCCGCCCGGAGCGAGCGGTCTCTCCACTGGACATCTGAAACAAGAGCTGGTTAGTGCAGCCGGCCCAGCGGGTTAGGCTGCAGGAGGCCCGGGCCGCGCTTTGGGGAGCACAGTCCCCCTCGGGGCTTACCGCTGCCTGGCCCGGCCCCCGCCCAGGCCGACCGGCCTGGGCAGCTCCTGCTTCCACCGCGGCCTGGGGAGAGGAGCCCCCATCCGGAACTCCCCTAGCGGGCTGGGAGGGGGCGGCTTGGAGGCTGAGGCCCGTTAATGTGCTAACGTCAGGTTAAAGAGCCACGCAAGGCAACCAGCTAGGGCTGAAGACAGGAGAAAACAAAGCGCTTTGGTCAGCAGGAGCCTGGACACGCCCAGCCTGGTCAGGCCCAGGCCAGGACCCCCTGCCGGCCAGCTGGCCGTGGACACTGGCCAGGGCCTGGAGGGCCACAGAGTGAGGCCCAGGCAGATCGTCCACGGGCCCAGCCCACCGGTCCGAGTCCCGCTCACCTCCGCCTTGCCCCAGAGGGGTGTTCAGGGGCCTGGGGCCAGGCCATAGCCCTGGCGGACCCCAGGGGAGGGCCAGCCCGCCTCTCCGGCCGCGGGGGACGAGCTGTCCCTTCCGCTGGCTGCATCAGCTTCTCGGCTGGAGGCAGCCCGCCGCTGCTCCTCACACCCAAGACCGTCCCGCCCAGAATGGGCTCGCTGCCCGGCTCCCGGGTGCGTGGACAGCTGCGGGCTCACGCCCTCTGGGCGCCCTCGCCTCCAGCCCAGGGCCCA